AATGAATGAATGAATGAATGAATGAATGAATGAATGAATGAATAAATAATTTAAAAAATGGAAGGGGGGATAAGCAATGGCGCCATGAGTATATGTATGAACTACTTGAATTGAAAGTCTGGCTGTGTGCAGAAGGCTTTTAGTTAAGGTTCATTTACCTCTGGATCCTCTGGGAAGATATTGTCAACAAGCCTCTTGTAACGGGGACGCAATGCTCCACAACAGCCACACACACCTGAAACAGAAAGGAAATGAAATCCTCTACACAACAAAGAAGCAGTAAGAGTTCTAGATTTGTTTTCAACTAGTTATGCAGACCACTCCCTTTGCATCAAAACCAAGTCTAATAATAATTAATAAAACTACAGAATCCTAGAATTAGTAGGGACCATTTAGACTCTCAAGCCAAGCCCTTGTTCATTATAGGAATACAAATTAAAGCATTCCGGATAAAGATTTCAACAGAAGAGAATATATGTAGCTCACGGTTGAACTGCGGAGTCCTTGGTGCTCTCTGAGCTTGGTTGTTTGCTTGCAGACATTTCATTACCCAACTAGGTAACATCATCAGTGCTAGTGGGTGTGGGGTTTGCTCCTTGTTTATATATAGTAGCTTGCCTTGCCAGTTTGGTGGGGGTATGGTTTTCTCCTTGGTAGTTCCTTGATTACAGTATTGTTTTCTGCTTAATTATTTGCCTGGTGTTAATCCCTGCTTATCTGGGTGTTGGTTGCTGGAGAGCATGTGTTCTGGTCTTTTTGTTTTCTTCTTAGCTTTTTTATTGTCCCTTTTGAATGGTGTATAAATACGGTTTATTTCTATGTGTCTATTGATGGCTGATTTGTCTGAATGCCCAGCTTTCAGGAATTCCCTAGCATTTTTGGATTTAGCCTGGTCTAGGATGCTCACAGTTTCCCAGTTGAAACTATAATTAAGTCTGTCCATGTGTTGTGAGATTAAGAAGTTTTCATCATGTCTTCTGACTGCTAGCTGGTGCTCGTGGATGTGCTCTGCCAGCCTTCTGCCTGTCTGTCCTACATAGTGTTTGTTGCAGTCCTTGCACTGTATGTTGTAGAGGACTCCTGGTTTTTTTTTTCTTCTTGGGCTACTGGGTCTTTTGGTTTACTTAAGATGTTTTGGAGGGCTTTAGTTGGTTTGTGTGCTATGGATATGCCATGTGGTTGTAACAGTCTGTTGATGGTTTCTGA